AGTTACGGTCAAATTTAGGTGGTGCAACTCAGCCTTATAGTATAATTTTTATGTGATTTGTGCATACAAAATGATGACACCTACCATATGTATAGGTACTACAGTAATAAAAGTAGAGCCCGAATTATTGTCATTAAACGATTTATTATTAGATTATTATAATAAATGGAAATACGTTTAAATATGTGAAGAGCCACGTTCTTATTCAGTTATTACTTCATCTTTTAGTTTTTTATTACTTAGCTCTTGAGAGAATTGGTAACCTTGAAGTAAGAAGTTCGCAACGGCAAATTATTTTGAGTATGTATCATTTTTCTGTTTATTCTGTTTTTTACGAGTCTCAGGGTACTAGCTAACTATAGGCCATATTTATTTCCATTACAGTTCTTTTGTGCTAAAAAGATTTTGATATGGATATCAACGTAGATTTTTTACTTTTTATAACCACTAGTTACTGGTCGTGACTACTCCCCCGCGTGGATTTTGATTCAAGTTAGGGCATGCAAAAACCGAGCGGTTTGGAAAAACCGGTTTTTTCGGTTTTTATTTTTAAAAACCGAACTAAACCGGTTTTTTCGGGTTTTTCGGGTTNTTTTTTTGCAAATGCAATCTATAATAAGTACAGTAAAACAATAAAATAAATATGTATAAAATGTGTATTCAATAGTGTTAAGAAATACTTTATTAAAAAATCGATTAAATAGGTTATAATTTCTGAGCTTTAGTTTGTAAAGGATCGCCACAGCACACTTTGAAAACATAGCAAAAATCCAAAAATACAAGATACACACAACCATCCCGGGTAGTACAATAGAAAGAGCAAAATTTGTTAAAACAAGAATAAGTGTTTTCCACAGCAATTTTACACACCATTTCATAGCTACTATCTCAGAGTTAAAAATGAAGTAATTACCTTTGTGAATAACAATAAAAACAGTAAAATGACAAAATGAAATAATAATATGACAAATGTATACAATTGTGCTAGGATATGCCTTAATATCTATTCGATAACTACATATTATGTGATCTCTCAGCTCCTGTCTGTAAAACATTGCTGCAACACACCTCGAATACATAGCAAAAAGCCAGAAATACACACAACATGCAATAAACTCGGGCATCAGCACAATCACGCCCACCAAAAAAGTGTACATACAGTGTGAGNTGTACATATATAAAAAAGGTACACAATTCAATAAAGGCAAAGCAACAATTTTCCATAGCAATTTCAAACAAAGTTTCACAGCCAGTGACACAGAGCCAATAGGCACCGCTTGGTATTTATGTAGTGCATTGTGGCGAATAGTAATTTCTAATCTAATTATTTGTAGAACCAACGGCAGCCTCACCAAAAACCCTGACCAGGTCCGACTCCGAGCGCACGCGCAAGCGAGGGCTATCTTTAGTGGGATATTGCCTGGCATATATTCGGCCATCCCTCGTCCATACATAGCGCCAGTTCAGTTGGTTAGCCAAATCACGCGTACGGCGAAAAAGCGCTCTATTCAGCTTAGTCAGTCTTTCGTTTACATAGAAACGACGCGAAGGTTCCGGTAGCCCCAAGCCCTCCGTTGTAGCGCCGCGCCTCACTCTCGCAGCTTGCAGAAGTTGGTCGCGTACGGCCCGGCGGGACAGTCGCACAACTATGTGGCGCGGCCGCCGGGGCGCGGCAGGTTCTGCCGCGGCCTCAAGTACTCTTCCTACTCGGTCGACACTTACGATGTCCTGCTGACCGAGACCAACACCGAGCTTACTCGCCAAAGTCATTATGACATGGGACAAGCTTTCGCCTTTGACTTCAGGTACGCAGGATATTTCTAAGTCGTTCAGCAGTAAATCCTGATCGCGGTCATTTAGCTCTGCCTTTATGTTTTCAATTGATGTCAAAACTGATTTATCAAGTTCCTTTTCTAAACCCTCGGTCCTGCCGCTCTCCAGTGTGTTCATCCGAACCTCCAGTTGGTCAATACGGTTCTCACATTCACTGACCCTGCCTGTCAATGCTGTCACCTTTTCATTCAGCTGCTCGATTTGAGCACGGTTGGTCCGAATTTCAGTCAGCATCTCCTCCCTAAAGGCCCTCAACTCCAGCAAGATAGCTTGTCGGTCTGTTAAATCAAGGGTCTGATTATGGGCCGTATCATTTAGGTTTTCCGCTGTCGAAATGTTTAGCTCAATAGGGCTCCCTGTAGCCTCTCCCCGGTGATAAGTAATTCCTCCGTGGAAGCCTCGCACGGGAGTGTTCGTGTTGTCAATCTTAGGCAGGTTGCTCATGCATTCGACGCATCGCCATGCTCCTTTGCGCTCCTCTGTATATGTATCAAAATGCATTTCGGGAACATTGGCGCAAGTCAAATCATAACTTTGATTACATCCCCGACATAACAAGTGTTTTTCATTTTTTAAATCACTTCGACAGCCCGCACAGATGATGTTTTTAGTAGACATGATTATTTTTGTATAAAAACACAAGGAGCAAGCCAAAAACAAAAAATAAAAATACAAAAAATAATCGATTGACTAGTCTTGAAGTATGAGCCCAGACCGATACACGGCGCGCTACGCCACCGACCCTTTACGGTAACGGGCGAAATTGTGTATCTTAATAATGACGTAAATTCACTAGCGGACGGTGAACCGGTTTGACTAGTCACGTAGGCAATGACCGACGAATTTGCACTTAACGAGAATCACTGTCGCCCGTCGCCGTTTAAAATCACTGTTTGTTTTTGTTTCACTACTTCGCAACCATGGCACTTCTATATCGTTTGTATTTATAGGTCGAGGAGACTGGTGCAGGGGAACACTCTTGTAAATTATTACTGTGATATTTCAAGTTTAACCATTTTTAAATACAACATAATACAGAGGAACATAAATACGCGTCTACCGCGGTAACCGCCGCCCGCGCGCCTNTCTACCGAAATTGTTACATTAGTAAATTCTTTGGCTTTGACCTAACATGTCATTGTAGGTACAGATGATAAGACATCGAGCGTAACACAATCAGTTTTGTGTCTGAATACTATTCTTAAAACGTATCAATTGCTAAAATGGAGACAAAACAAAACAAAACTCTGACTTCAGTTTAACCAATCTATTCAAATTCAAATTATTTTATGCGTGGGCCCTTTCCAAATATAGCTTGCCCTACCACCATTTCGAGTCAACATTATGGGCTGGTGCTGAGAAGTGGCGAAAAAAACTTAGTCGCTTTTGTCAGCCTCTTATATAATAAAAGAAATGGTGTTTACAACATGCTATAAAGCAAATATAAGGTAAACTCCATCCATTCAATATTCAAAGATATTTTCAAAAACTATTACTTTATAAATAAAATACTGGATGAATAAACATGCTAGCTAAAAATACTTCATCAAAACCCGTCTGCCATCTTTAAACCTTCACAAAACTTTTAAGAAGCCAATCCTGAAGGCCATAAACTGCTATTCTTTGGAAGTTAATAAAAGCTCTTGAAATATCGTCATTGGCTTAAAGTTTCGTGTTTACAGAAGCTTTAGATCGTGCTTTTTATTTCCTCGGCGAAGAATATCTTGCGCATAATAATTGTGACTTTACAGAAGAATTTAATTTTATCCTCAAAGAAAAATGGAAATTTAAAGTCAAATAATGTAGGTAGATAGTTTTTTGTTATCTTATGCAGGATTAAATTATAAACATTGGCTTCCCTTGAAAGAAACTTGATTTCCTTTGAATAATTTCTTAAAATAGCAATAACTAGCTTTCCAACCGCGGCTTCGCCCACGTGGATTTTTGTCTGTCACATAAGGTTTTGCGCGCGTCCCTGTTTCATAAACCGGGATAAAAACTATCCTATGTCCTTTCCCGGGATTCAAACTATCTCTATGCCTTTCATCAAAATCGGTTCAGTGGTCTAGGCGTGAAAGCAAGACTGACAGAGTTACTTTCGCATTTATAATATAAGTATAGAAGTATAGATTAAATAACATCCAATAAAATAGAGACAATTAACTTTTGCCTGCGGTTTCGTCCGTGAGAAATTCAGTTTGTCATAGAAAGACTGTCTTACTTGATACTTATCGTGATAATGTAGCCAAATAATTCAACATCGTTTTAAATTATAGCCTCACGTGATTTTGATGTAAGAAAAATAATCCTGTGAAATTTCATGAAAATCCGTTTAGTAGTTTTTTGCGTGGAACAGTAAACAGCCTGTACCTTGACAAGCGTTCACATAATATAATATTAGTAGGATAGCAATTCTAATTAAATAGCGCCCCGCCCCTGCTTCGCACAGGTACAATATTTAAAAAATCTTCCTCTTGAATCAAATCTATCTATTAAAAAAACCGCATCAAAATCCGTTGCGTACTTTTGAAGATCTATGCATACGAGGGCTGCACTAAAAGTATCGGGAATGGAATATTTCNGCGCGCCTGGTGGCAAAAAACAAATTATTACAGTGGGTGGTAAGAAGTCGCACATTTATGTCCTTTTTATTATTTAATTTAATTACTCGCTTTTTAGTTGAGGTTTATAAATATGGTTTTAAAAGTCTAAATTCCTTTTTATTCATCATCATCATCATCATCATCTCAGCCATAGGACGTCCACTGCTAAACATAGGCCTCCCCCAATGCTTTCCATGTTGCCTGGTTCAAATTCAAATTCAAATTATTTATTGCATATCACATGGTTGGTAGCAGCCTGCGTCCAGCGCTTTCCTGCTACCTTTATCAGGTCGTCGGTCCACCTTGTGGATGGACATCCCACGTTGCGTTTTCCGGTACGCGGCCTCCACTCCAGAACCTTGCTGCCCCATCGACCGTCAGTTCTGCGTACTATGTGCCCTGCCCATTGCCATTTCAGCTTGCTAATCCGTCGGGCTATGTCAGTGACTTTAGTTCGTTTCGGGATCTCCTCATTTCTGATTCGATCTCGTAAAGAAACCTTTTTATTACTTTATGATTTCTAATTTGAACTTAAGAGTACTATAAAACTTCAAATCCACTTACCTGAATAGAACCTAGGCTTGATATAGTCCATGCAGGCCTGCACAGCTCTCCTCAGCGCCACACGGCATAACGTAGCTGCGTACAGTCTTGAAGCGCTGAGCGTTTGGGCCAGACCGTCCTCCGATATCACGTTTAGTGGGGTCGCTGAAAGGTAAAAGTTTAATAAAAATACTACTACCCGTTAGCGCTTAGTTTGCCGGTCCGTGGAATGCGCGTTCCTTTCCCCAGCCGCGATTAAACGCAATAATGTGTCAAACACAATAGTGTGTGTGTAAATAAAAAATATTTTAAATATAGCTAGACGCTTCCCTTCGAGTGACGTCACATCGCCAGCGGAAAACTTAAAGCGAACGGATAGTACGATAATTTCAACTGTTAATTACTAGACATCGGATTATATGCATTTGCATTATTGCATATGCAAACGCATATAATGCTATTTTTAAAGCGTTATTGCATATTTTGGTACTTTTTCATTGAAAGTGCTTATTTTAGTATTTATACGTGTTAGACGTGTTGTACTTCGCCGCCGTCCCCACACCAAACATCAACACATCGCCCTCGCACGCACTGCGAGAGCGCATTGAGAGCGATCCGTACCAGTGTTGCCAGTCGGGTCTTGTCAGAAATTACCAGAAATATAAAAAAAATTAACCTTTTTGAATAAAAAGTAACCTTCATACGGAGCGAAAATGAATGACCATTCCATGAAGACCGAAAAGTGACCGGTCGTATAAAAACGTTTCCTGGATTTGCGTTTTATTATCGAAAAACATTCGCTAAAATTCATTTTTTTTAACAAACAATAAATCAAATTCATGTTTAAATGCAGTTTATGACATAATTTTTAAATTGTCACAATTAATATTTTTTACTATATTTATATTGTCACAAGAATTAATATATTTATATTGTCACAAGAATTACAACCAATAAGTACCTATATAATTAATTAATTATGTATTGTGAAAATAAAGATAATTCTAATAATGTTTTTTTGATTGTGCATATTTTGTGCATATTTCGCCCTTTTTTAGTGCATATTTGCATGCATATTTTGGCATTTTGATAGTGCATATAATCCGATGTCTACAATCTGTCCAGGGATGGCGAACCTCTATGTATCAACGTGCCACTTTTAAATACAAATAGACGTTAAAATAGACATTGCAATTTCCAATGCTATCAACGAGGGGTCATCGTACAAGTAGTGCCACTGGCCAGTGACAGGACGTCCACGTTCAGGCATGACTATGACTACATCAAAAAGATTTTTCGGAAAAGTGGTACGTTGAAACATAAAGGTTCCCCATCCCTGCTATAGATCTTTTCATCCATGAGACGCGTCCCACCAATTTTTGGTCAAGAGACGCGCAGGGTGCGAGCAATCCGGGCGTCATTATTGTAAGAGTGTGCGTGTGCACTCATGGATAATTTAGCATGACCGATAACACTCAAACACTAGCGGAAGAATGGTGGGGCGCGTCTTCGTAGATGAAACGATCTATAAAAAAACTTTACACACCTGGCACTCGCAAGAAATTGACAAAGTTGCCGTCATGCGACACTCCTTCAACGCCCGGATGAACGAGGAACCCCTTCAGACGTCCTGCCTCAATGGAACACAACACTAACAAGTATCCGTCTGCGTTTTGACACACCTTCTCACCGGTTATCCGCCATATACCTAGAAATGTATAAACAACATAATAAATAAAGTCAGTTGTATAGTTTTAACTATTTGAGACATGTAGAAGAGCCAGGCCTTCTACTCAGTTATTAAGACATAATACTAAGACCTGGCCATAAACAAAAGAAAAAAAAAAAAATAGCATTAACTCTATGGCTGCTGTGATACAGACCAGGGATGTTATGGAGATCCGTAACTGTAACCTTCGGATATCCGAAATAAAAAATGAATATCCGAAACGACTAAATTAATTTAAAAGATTTAAGCATACAGTCTGTAGGTCAGAAGTTGCTCCAACTTTGTTTTAAACACTTTAAAGATACATAAAAACAAACAAACTCACCCTGAGGATCCAATTCCGCTGTAGTCCTAAAGTCAGGCTGTGTGATCCTTTCAGAAACTCTCTCTTTTATACACAACGAAATAGGTTTGTCACCAGTTATCAAGTCATCAACAATTTGCTGGTACTGATCAACCTCTAAACCTCTACGTAACGCCTCTAAACCCACCCAGTGGTCGCTTATCTCCTGCCCCAGGCTCAGATCTGTCGATATCACCTCTAAATACCTCAAACTTTCCGTTATATTCATTGCTAGACCGTTATTTGTGAGACTCACTGGAGCTGCATACATCATAGTACGTTTTAGAGCCGTTTTGCGATCTTCTTTTGTTTTTTCTGGGTCAGAAAACACGCGGTCGAGAGCAGCGACTCTCTGGTCCAAGTTTTCAGACTCCTCCTTGTTTATGATCTCGGGAAAGGCGAGTAATTCTTTGTTGAATACAGATACGAAGACATCTTTCATAAATGGTTTTATTTTCGGCTTTCGGCGCTCGACGCGTTCGAGAACCTTCAGATCTTCGAAGTCGAACTTCTCTTCTTTTATTTGAGGCTGCGTAGCTTGAGTACTTTCGTAATTTATAGCTGATAATCGAAGTTTCCGATCGAAGTTTTGTCTGACCGAAGGATAGCGAATGGAGTATATTCTTCGAGCTAAATTCATGGTTTATAAACTGAAATGCACCGTATTTATTAAATGCTGTGTTATTAAAACACCTTTTAATATTATTTATTGCACAATTTGTAAATATTACGAAGAGAAAGGTCCGTGCAGTTTTTAGGTTATTTTATCTGTCAACTGTCAATCTGACAGAACGTCATTGACATTAAGTTGAATTTACGAAGCAAGTTCTTGGCAAACGTGGAAACACAATAGCCATAGAGGAGAAGAAGAAGAAGAAGTTCTTCCGTCTAGATTTTAAAGCATTCTTTCTTCTTTTTTTTGGCAATACTCGTCGAGACCGACTTGAACTTGAAAAGCATGACTGTATTTAAATAATATCTTCACAAGAAATCTGAATTTGAATTTGAATTCTTTTAAATACCCTAATTATTATAAACATACCGGAATAAGGAGCAAAACTAGTTGTACTTTAGCTGAGGGTCTAGACAAAGTGCAAATTATGATCGCAAACCAGTCGAAAAGTGTCAAATTCATCTCTATGCATCCTTAACAGTCATAAATCTCACAAAGATTTGCAAAGTTATGCAGTCACTAGATCACAATTAAATTAAGATTCAATTAGAATCGCAAACACGAAAATTACCTATTTATTGTATAAAAAATTCTAATCAAGTGGCATTTGTAAATTTGAATTTGGCAACATTATTTCAGTATGGATGTGACGAGAATAGCGAGTTTCTAGCACCGTTATTTATAACGTTAACGTTGCTGTAACGACTTTTCTCCAACTTTTAATCAAAATAGTTCTGCTGCCCCCCTTAAATATCAACACATTTTCTTGGCTAAATCTTCGCGGGCATCGCAGCACATTTTCATCGTTATCGAACCAACTAAACAAGACGATTGTTACGACATTTAATTTTTTATGTGAATAAAAAAAAATTAAAAACAATCTACGTTGTAAGTTTTTTTTACATTATCAAAACTGAAGAAGTCTTCAAGTTTATTACTTAAACATTATTTGTCACTGCATTAACTTACTTAAGTGGGATTGGTAATTGGTAAATTAATTGGTAAAGTTAACTCAAATCACACAAGTGTTTAAGTTAACTGAAAGTAATCTAAGCTTAAGCGAGAATTCTCCGGAGTCACGAGTCTTAAATAAATATTTTTATACCTTTACCGTTAATAGTTATTTGGCCCGACGTTAACGAACATCCCTTCCTAGCTGTAGGGGTTGGGGTGGTAAAGCCGCCACCCTCATTCCACCCGCAAATCAATACCAACCATACACCAGCATTTTTAGAGTTCAAATTCTTGTGCTATCAAAGTACCAGTTTCACATAGCTATAGGTTTTTCCATGTACTCCATGAAATAATCAGTAGGGAATCCTCGATGGCACGGTTTGTAGACTGCGAACAGTTTTTTGTGTTACAACGACGTTTTGTGCTGAAAATGAAGGCAGTGTTGGTATAATTATGTGGATAGTTAGCAAGATTTGTTCTGTGTAGTGAGTGCTGGGTTATGTGCGTGTGTCTTTGGATTTTCGCGTGTGTTAGAAGACTTGAGTTCCATGCGATCGGCTAGATCACCCTTAAAGGTACGTGAATAAATTCTTCTTTGTACGTTCGCTTGCATACGAAGTCTTTTATGAGGTCGTGGATTTGCATATCCGTAACGAGATTGTGTGCAAGTTCATTAACATTAGCATTAGTGATGTGTAATTGCGCTCGTTATAAATAACGTTTATTGTTATTTTTTGATAATGCAGATTGTTCTGGGTTGTTTGACAGAAGAATTAGGTTTAATTAACTTGAGAATGATGGGTTAATTACAAATTAAGTGGCACTAAAAATGTTAGATTTTAAGTACATATTTTTCAATATAAATACGGCGTAAAGTAGAGCTAACTCATAAAATGCAAAAAAAGCTACATAATTCAGTCGAAAGCACATCAGCCTACACATTTTTGTGGCAAAATCACTTTTATTACAATTTCATAAGATTCAGTGTTAACCTTAATGTGCTGTCGTCCTAAAATATTTTATATGGTAATTAAACTTAACAGCAATATTTAATAACTATTTATTTTCCAAAAATAGAGTATAATTTAGCGAGTAGTCCAACTTTAATGTTTTATTATTAAATTAAATCAACAAAAATCTACTCTAGAATCTAACGCCCGTATTCACAAACATTACTATGAGGTCTCACAGTGCGCGTGGACGCACAGGGTGACACACGATCCAATCACAGAGCTCTATAATTCAATGCTGTGCGTTCGATTTGCTGCTTCACTTAAGCAAGCATCGTTTGTGAATACGGGCGTAAGTGTTGCCGGAAGAAAAAATAAAAAAATACGTAAAAATTCAATTCGGCGACCTGGCCCGTTGACCAAGCCAAAAGAGGGCCAAGTCGTTGGGAGACTCAATTTAGTACCTATTTAATTACTACTTCCCAATTAACTAGATCGGTTTTATTTACATAGGACTGTGTTTATTAAGGGGGTCAAACCAGGGATGTTAAGGATATCCGTAACCGTAACCGAAACTTTAGGATATTCGAAATAAAAAAATATCCGTTACCGTAACCGAAACCGGTATATTATTCCTTTAATATCTGTAAGCGTATCCATCCATAACATCCCTAGGTCAAACTAACGTGTCACAACTTTAGGGACCCGTATTCAAAAAATTGTAATCTTTATAAGATCAGTCACAGTCTATTTGATTTCCACAGTAGTAAGTAAATAGAACAAAAGTACCTACCTATTTACTCGTACATCATGTACCTATCTAAAGCTTGAATTTCTTGCGATAAATTAATGTATACGGAACTCTGCACGTAAGCTTATCTCGCACTTGGCAGAATCTATTTGAATATTATAACTCAAATGTGACTGACTGACTGACATAGTGATCTATCAACGCAGAGCAAACTCCACCCCTAAGGGAGTAAAACGGGATCCACGCGTACGAAGTCGCGGGCGGCCGCTAGTTTACTGTAAAATTGAAGTCAAGATTGTAGGTGGACATTTTAAATGTAAAGCTTAACTTATGCGTAGGTCAACGGTTAAAATCTTATAGATACATATGTATAAATAGGTAGCTATGTACATGTTACAGGAAATGTATGAAATCCGTCATTGTATACAATTCCTAGAAATTGTGTATAAGTCCTAAAATCACCCGGAAATGTGTGATGTAAATTATATTACACACATTTCCTAGGAAATTTACACATTTCCTAAACAGCAATCGGAAATGTAATTAAGATTTCAATAATTACCTACGAGTGGACATGCGGTTCGAGGGCAGGATATTGCATCATCCGATTACGCGGGGTCTCTATCGAATCGCCAAATTTTTTATACGCCTAGTTGTCTATGGCACACAAATTTTAAGCCTAAATTTTTTTTACACAAAATTATTTTTATTACGCCACTTTTTTTTCTCCCGAAACTTAAATGGCGCTACCACGCCGCGGCAGCTGTGTATGTGTAAGGTCGCAAGTCTAACCTAACCTAACCGAGACTTTGTTATCCAGCTACAGGAGTACTAAAACCTTCATGTCAATAAAAGTTTAATAAAAGAGTTTTAAAATTAGGGAAAAACAAATACTTCAGCGTAATATGCGTGATGCCGAAAGAAAGGTATGCCAATAAATTTTAGGCAAATATTTTTTTCGGCCAAAGTATAATAGTGCGAAAACAACTGTCAGCAGGCTAAACAATAATAATTATAATTGTGAGTTCAAAGTACCTATCGGCCGATGTGGTTTGGCTAAATGAAATTTTAGGCGTACCGAGGGGCAACCGATCACGCGAAGGCGCTTGTGGCGCTTAGTTTTATACATTTCCTAATACAATATTGGAATTCTATAAAATTCCTAGGAAAAGTATACATTTCCTAGGATATGAGCGTATTAAAAAATCTCTGAAGCAATATTTTAAACATTTCCTAAATAGCTTCGGAATTGTATATGTTACGGTCAAAGTGATAAATGTGAAAATTATGAATAATCGCCGGTTATTATGAATAATCACCACATGATTTGGTAAATGTGATTAATATGAGGTCATTTATGTGTGTATAAAACTAAATAGGCGGCTTAGGGGTGGCCCAAGGGCCACCCCCGCCGCACCTTAACCTATTTTTCACTTTAAATCAAAACATTGTGTTATAGGCATCATGGAAAAGTAATATTATGCAAGAAACATTCCAAACTCATTATGCCAAATTATATTAATATATGATATCAAAACGTTCAAGAGTTTGGCTTTACACGAGCACGTACACAAGATGTTGTTCTCTTTTATGAAATTTGTTAGAACTAAGGTTGAATTATTAAATAATCACTGTTAAATGTGATTAATTTATCACTTTTACCGCGACTGTCGGTGATTATTCATAATAACCGGTTATTATTAATAATTTTCAATTTATCACATTAACCGTAACATATACATTTCCTAGGAATAGTAGGTATACAATTCCTAGAATTCATACATTTCCTGTAACATACATGTCGCAGTCAAATTGTATAATCCGCCGTTTTACATTACAGCTAGGCATTTTGCATTACAGCTCTGTTTTGTAATACGGCGGCTTAACGTTTAGGCGGATTGAATACAGCTGAATGAAAATCCGCCGGAATGTATTCGGCGCCAAACGTTCTTCAATACGGCTAGCCGTAATGTAAAACAGCGTGTCATTACCCGCCGCTTTGATAGTTTTTAGTTCCTTTTTTCAATACCGTGGCGCTGCCGGACCAAGTGGCTATGGATTCTGGTGTTCGGCGGAATCCTACACAATAATATTATTAGTGTAAAAATATGAAATCATGGCTGTGGCCGGTGAAGATAATTTTATCTTAAAGAAAAATAACCCAGAAAAATGGCTAAAACTTTATTGTTTTGAGTTACCTGTTCCCTGTGATCATTTTTAATGTCTAAAAAAGACTAAAGCCAAATATCTAATTAATTCTTAAAATGTTTAGAAAAGTCTAATATTGTTTTGAGTTACTTTTTTTTAGATGGCTATCCCTTGTGATTTATATAAGTAAAAAAAAAATACTGAAGCCAAATATATTATTTAGTATACAGTAACGAAGATAATAATTCTTAAAATCTGTCTTATTAAAAGAAGAACGGTCACGCCCGGCGCCCCATACAAAAAAAACCCAGACCCGACAGAAACGAGACATACATATTCTGTCGGGCCTGGGTCACAGTCAGAGATGACCGTTCTTCTTTATTTTCATTAAACATTGTTTTATTTTGTAAGTATGGTCACCCTACAATCTATAGTAATACGATGCGGCTAAACGTGGGCCGCCGTATTGAAGAACGTATCGCAATGACAATCCGCCTAAACGTTAAACCGCCGTATTACAAAACAGAGCTGTAATGTAAAATGCCTAGTGGTAATGTAAAACGGCGGATTATACAATCCGACTGCGACATACATATTAATAAACATTTAAGTAATATACTTAATACCAAGACCAGTACAAACAGATAACGTTCATGGACACAAAATATGAGTATGTTTGCATTGTGCCCCTCCGATCCTATAAACTTGAGAAATTATTGGAGGACTTTGTTTAACATCCATCCTTTATTTAATCCGTTAAGATTCTGCTTATTTACAGTTTTTTTTATCATCTATCTATACTAATCTATACTAATATTATAATGCTGTAGAGTTTGTTTGTTTGTTTACTTGAACGCGCTAATCTCCGGAACTACTCGTCCGATTTGAAAAATTCTTTCAGTGTTAGATAGCCCATTTATCGAGGAAGGCTATAGGCTATACAACATCACGCTACGATCAATAGGAGCAGAGCAATAATGAAAAATGGTGCGAAAACGGGTTTTCAGGCGTACGAAGTTTGTTGCGGCGCTTCTTCTCAGCACTTGCCAAATGTTGGTCTCGAAGCGCTGGTAGGGTAAAAAGATTATGAGACATGTAGAGGCTCCTTAAGAGCAAAATGACGATTTTTTAAGAACTATTTATTAGCCTAAACAAATAAAGAAATTTTGACTTTGACTTTGAAGTCGCGGGCACAGCTATTTAATCCGATATTGGTCACCGTTTACGAGTCTTCCAGCGACTTTGGCCAAAAGAGGCTGACGAAGGTGACCGAGTTTCTTCCGCCACTTCTTCTCAGCACCAGCTCATGTTGTCCCGAAGTGGTGGTAGGGCAAGCTATATTTGGGACGAGTATAAGTGCCCTGGAAAGGGCCTAAGTACTTATGTACTGAATAAACTATTTGAATTTGAAAATTTAAATTTTAGGTCGGTTTAGGTATGGGCCAAGTCGCTGAATTGCATTTTTAAATATGTTTCTTCCGGCAACTTACTAGCTTAATAGGGTCCCGTTGAACCAACAGTTTTTATTGGCGGTCAAGCTGTAGATCCTGGCTGCACAGGAGTTGCAGCGGTGGGATTCTGGTACACTTACACAATATTCAACTTAATCGACGGGGGGGTCTAGAAAGGAAAAAAAATCTGGACACCGCGGTGCAGAAAATCGTGCGCATATCTTTTCGCGCAAATGTCTTTCGCGCTAGTTTCTTTTGCGCAAATGTCTTTCACA